GCGGAAACATCATTTCCGAGAATATTATTATGCAAATTTTGTCAATGAAATGGTTGATTAATACTTTTCCAAGTAATTTATATTGATTTTACAGTTCACAAATATCATTGTGTCTTTGTTTTTTATAAGTTAACGAATAAGTAATTTTTGTTCAATAATGTTATATAATTTTTATATAACAATACCATATCTGGCTAGTAAGTAGTTAATGTCAATAGCATATAGTATGAAGTTTAATTTGGAATAAAACTCGTTGAAGGTTTTTAAATTGGGATTGAATAAACTTGCTAAAGGTTTATAAAGGTTCATAAATAGTCAGTATAATTTAAGAATCCTTTCTTTTCTGACTACAAAAAAAGCAAGAAATTGCCTACTCGAACCGAATTTTTCCATTCAACAAAACTTATCTCTATTTATCTTTGAAAAACAATATGGTACAGCGAATAAGAAGACCCACCAGACCAAAAGGATTTATGGCAAAAGTTGGTAGAAGTATTAATAAATGGTGGTCATCAATATATCGTACATGTGGTAATTGGTATAATGCTTGTAAAGAATTCTTTAAAAACTGCTGGAACTCTTTTCTAAATATTTTTCGATAAACATGATCGGATAACTTCAGTACGGTTAAAAAGTTAAACAAAATGCATGGTCATAAATACTTAACTTTTTTTATAGAAGATTTTAATGGCATTTTATCTTGACAGAGGTAATTTATGTTGGGTAGATATAATTGTATTAATATAGTTAGCTATATATCATATATCATTGCTATTTCATTTATTTATTTTTATTCAATATTTTTATAATTATGTTAAATACATATAAAGAAGCATTAAATTCGATTTTTTTCATATTGTTATAAATATTGGCCATAAAAAAAAAACATCGGGAAATTTTTTTTAGTGCAGATAAATTTAAATGAAAATCTACGCAAAGCTTATACAATTCTGTGCAAATTTCAAATTATAAAAAATTTTGCAAAATCTGCATTTTTGCAGATTTTTGCAGATTTACTAGTGCTCGGCAATATCAAACTTTTTTTTGAAAAGTCAGTATTTGAGTGTCAAAAAAAAGTTTGATTTTGCCGAGCATTAAGATTTACACTTATTTAATTTTCCTGATGAAAGCATGAATCATGAATATTTATAATTTACAAATTGAAAAAAAAACTTATGCTGTAATTGTACTTTTCAATAAGGCCAAATCTCTAAACCTTCAATAAGATCCATCGTGGATGTTCTATAGAATAGGTGGGCAATATAAAAAATAAACTCCGCTACTAATTAGTAATATTTAGCGGAGTTTCGGAGTTTGCGGAGTCTGCCCACCTATTCTATAGAACATCCTCCATCGTTAAGCATCAATTTTTTAAGATGCTGCATTTTAACAGTATTATGTCCTTACATCAAATTTAGTCGAGATTCTCAAGAGGACCATTATGGATTTTTGGTAAGAATATGTATGAGATGAGACTCCTTGGTCTCTCGGAATTGACAGCTTTGGAATGTGCACCTTAAATCAGTAATATTTGTATTACATACCATGCATTTTATATAGTTTTAAACGTTAATTTTTCTACATCTTACACTTAAAATTATGATTGATGAGTTTTATTTCGAAAGAGATAAATATAACGGGAAATGTGCAAATTGTGACCAATATAACATCGCCAGTTTGGTGTCAGAAATGTGACCCTCAGAAAACGGCACAAGGATGGACAAAGTGGAAATAAGGATATAGATGATTGTATCAACTCAAAGCTAAATCTTATGAAGATTGATCGAATGGATTCCTTTTGATAGAATAAATTATTTTCAAAATATTGGCGAAGGAGTATTTGGTTCTGCATTTTCGGCAGTGTAGTTGATGGTAGAAAGATAGTCTCAGGCAAACCCGAAGAATATATAAAATCATGTACACCATCCTGTAAAGTTGCTTTTAAGACATTGCTTGGTTCGCAAAGGAATTTTTTAAGAGCAATAAGTTAAAAATGATTTATTTATAACCTAATATAGATAAATCATTAACATTATAAATTTTTATTTTATTTAACAAGTTTAAAATCTATATAGAATGTAGATTGATGGGTAATAATCTTGAAGTAAACGGAATAACTCAAAATACAACTAATAATGTATATTTGATAGTATTTCAAATAAGGGAAGCCTTCATAAGTTCCTATCATCAAATTTAGTAAACTTAGTTGGAGAACCAAATTAAAGCAACTTGTCGATATATCAGAAAATTTAACAAAAATACACGAAGCAGAATATGTTCGTGGAAATCTTCATAACGGAAATATATTAATGGAGATATAATAACTCATATCGCAGGTCTGGGATTATCTAGAAAAAAAGATGATTCGGTTTTAGACGATAATATTTACGGCGTTTTGCAAAGGTTGAATCAATGAAAAGTTTTCCAATATGTACCCGTTAGTCTGCCATAGATCTGCCAAGTACCTGCTGAATATCAGCAGCATATTGGAGCACATTTGTAAGATATCAAGAGGTAGATCGATATCGGTAACATAACTTACCAATATGTTTCCAATGTGCTGCTGATATTCAGCAGGTATTTGGCGGATCTATGGCAGACTAACGGGTACATATCGGGAAACTTTTTATTGATTCAACCTGTGTTGCCTTATGTTGCCCGGAAGTATAAATAAACAACCATATATAACAGCCGCAGATATTTATAGTTTTGCTATTATTATGACCGAAATGTCCGCCCCATTATCAAATATGTAATGAAAGCACTCCTGAGTGCTATTTCCAATTAACAAATCAATGTTTGGATGCTAATCCTTCTAAAAGACCAACCGCATCTTATATCTACAATGAATTATCAAGATGGAATAAAATAATATATAGTAGTGCTGCAAAGCTCAAAATGAATTAGCAATATTAAAAGCATTTCAGTCTGTGGATGCAATTATTCCAACATTATCAACAGAATTGCCAATTCATCCTGATGATAAACTTACAAGTAAACCGTTTAACTTCAAAAACCTCTCTAGGCCAATTTAATCAAATATTTTATCAATGAATACGATAAATAATTATAATATAATATAATTGATCAAGAGTTTATTTGCTTTTTGATTTTCATATCAGTATTCAACACCACCTCAAATATACAATCAACTCTATAAGTGCAATTCATTGGGACCGGACTTTTAGCAACTTGCATTTAGAGAACAATTAAGAAAAATTGCATTTATAGAGACAAAACATATACCAAACATATACTTGGGCCCGAAGTTAAAGTTGCATTTAGAGAGAAGTTGCACTTAGAGGGGTTGCACTTAGAGAGAGTTGACTATACTTTAATAGTATAAAAAGATATGTGGTATTAAGCATAGTTGATGTGCTTTAGTAGTATTCTTTTAGCATAATATATAAAAATATTTTTAATCTATAAATATTTTATTTTTGTAGTCAAAATATGAGATATAATGAATAAGTATATTTTATTCAAATTGCTTACTCTAATAATCTGGCGAATATGCTTATATAGATCAAGTTTATTTGGTTACCTTAAGTTCTTGAAACTATATAACCTAACATTACAGTCAGACCTCTATAAGTGTAAACCTTCTCTAAATGCACCTTTTCTTATTATTCTCTATATGCACGTTATTAAAGTGTAGTCTCATGGCGTGCACTTTGAGAGGTCTGACTGTATTAGTATTATTGTCATTTATAAAAATATCTTTTGTGACCTGTAATCTTGCCACGATTTTGCATAAAATTTTTTATAATATTAACAATGTCATCTTAAAACGACATGTCATTTATAGTCATTTTATGACTTTATTATTTACCATTACTGCACTGTATACATACGTACGGTGCAAGAAATCTAAAAGCCAATGACTTTATCATTTACCATTACTGCACTGTATACATACGTACGGTGCAAGAAATCTAAAAGCCAATGACTTTATCATTTACCATTACTGCACTGTATACATACGTACGGTGCAAGAAATCTAAAAGCCAATGACTTTATCATTTACCATTACTGCACTGTATACATACGTGCGGTCTAAAAGCCAATGACTTTATCATTTACCATTACTGCACTGTATACATACGTACGGTGCAAGAAATCTAAAAGCCACAATTATACTATATACAGGCAAAAATACAAATATTGAAACCCTAAATTATAAGCATCAATAAAGTGGGGTGTCCCGTATTAAAAGGGCCCATTTTGCAATTTTTCGAAAAATGTTTTTATTAGATTCATGTAAATTTTGACACGATTGATATTTTTCAATTATAGATGAAAGTTTATTTAGTACAATAGCCAAATGGATACCCATTAATATAAATTTAGGATATTTTGTACCTCTACTTATTTTTGAAATAAGTAATGAATCAAAACTTATAGAATTGGCAAAAATTCGGTCGGTCAATTTTTGCCAGATTTTCCAGAATTTATGAAAACAGCTGTAATTACAGTTCATTTAATTTTTATAAATAAAACACTAAAAATATATATTGTATAATAATAAAAATTATTTTGATTTGCATAATGTAAAAGAAAAATTTCACGAGGCTGCCTAAGGCCAAGCACATCACGGGATCACTCGATAGTCACCTGTTACCTTTAACCCAATCAAACTCAATTATCTCAAAATAAGGTATATGTCAAAATGGGCCCTTTAATATGAGGCACTCCAAGTTGTGTAAATACTTTTATTTAAGTCAATAATTTAAGAAATATGAATTTTGATGTGTTACTTGATTATCAGCTTGGCATAATCTGTAACCTATAATCAAGTTGCACCGACAATAAATTAGGTATTTAATTTCACTGTTTATATTTTATCCTTATAAGGTATAATCGTGGCTTTCAGATTTCTTGGAAATCTAAAAACTTCAATCACTTTATACAGAATAAAGGTTAACTAACTCATTGAAGATATGTTTGTATAGATTTTGTAATACTTCTCTAAATTTAAGATTTTTTAGCCGTCCACGGCTATGCATTTAGAGAGGTCTGATTGTACTTGGACCAATGTTCAAGCTTGCATTTAGAAAAATACAGTCAGACCTCATAAATGCAAACCCCGAAATGCAATACCTTCCTAAATACAATACCTTCCTAAATGCACGATGGAAAGCTATCCACACAATGGTCTTATAGATAAATGCACGTTCTTTATTCTGTAAGTGCATGCCCACCTATAAAAACTCACTTCATAAATGCATCCACGTAATTACTAGCAGTCAAATTAATTATTTCTAGGCTACTAAAGCATATTTATCACGTGATAATAGTCACATCATGATTTTATCAGTGTTCTCTGATTGCAACCCTCCCCAAATGCATGCTCTAGAGCTGGGGTGCATTTAGAGAGGTCTGACTGTATTGTATTTAAAGAGTTTGGATACATGATAATAATCTCTGTGACTTTTTTTAGTATCGAGGAATTTTAAATTTACATTTAATTTTAAACCTTCTTATTGCGATAATTATAAATGAAATTCTTTACAATTCCTGCTTTTTAATCATCAGTTTATCATTTGTCTCATCATACGTATTCAGTCCAGATAAACGTGATGATGGAACTTTTGCATGGGGCTATCTTGGTTCCAACGGTCCTGCTTATTGGTATCAAGCTAACGAAACCTGTAAAGGCAAAAATCAATAAAGCCCTATAGATCTGAAACTTGAAGATTTTGTTAACTCTACTAAAATTGAGTTAGATGTAGCCAAGGAAACTAAATTAATTCTCTTAAATACTGGTCATAATTATCAAGTTCAAAGCCTTAAGGGTACTATCGCGGCACCAGCATTGAATTATAATGCAACTTTGAAAGTTGATGGTGAAACATATTATCTTTTACAATTCCATTTTCATACGCCATCGGAACATCGTATTGAAGGCAGAGATTTATTAATGGAAGGGCATTGGGTTTTCCAAACTTCGTCTGATAAAGATGCAAAAGTGGCCGTTCTAGGAGTTTTCTTTGACCTCGGAAAAAATGATGAACCTAATTTGAAACCTATTGTAGATATAATTAATGATGTATGCAAAATTAATAATTATTATGAATATTTTCCTCTTTAAAGAGGCTTACTTTTCAAATTTTAAATTCCTGTAGAAACCGTTAGAAGTCGGTGAACATGTTAACATATCAATGTCAGCAGGCAAACAAATATTTAAAAAGGTTAAAACTGTATGTATTTATACCAAATGATAATATCCGTTTAAATTTTCATGATACTGTATTAAAGAATATTTCGTTTATCTCCAAAAGGTTTTTAGTTATATTGGCAGCTTTACAACACCATCATGGTTTGTTTCTCGAGATGTACTAAGTATTAGCCTATCCCAATTTGAATCATTTAAGTATGTATTAAAATTTAATAGCCGATTTACGCAAAAACGTCTCGATGGTGGCGAACCAAAATCACACAACCCGTGGAAGCCCAATGTTATTTAGATTTTAATGCCTGTATCTAAGATTACTTGAATTTTATATTTATAAACTTAGTCTAATAGTATACATATTTATTTATCCTTAAGTAGATAAAATTTAATTTTATGAGTGATAACTAAATAGGTCATGTATTGTAATTTTCAAAATTCTTTTGATAAATGCTATTTTAAATAGATATTTAAATTATCTAAGAAGTTGTTTATTTGAAAACAGACAGTTGATCGAAATTATTTAAATTATAATTTGATTTAAATAAAGACACTGGGATAATATGACCGATTATACAAATCAATGCTTTTAAAAGGGCACCTTTACAAGTTATTGTGACCTTTAATAGTTTAGTTATAAAAATATTTTTAATTTAGGCTAACGTGCAAGATATGATCGAGTTAACAATTGCGTTTTATATTATCTATAAGATTTTAGTATGCTTCTATAGAAATATTCTATCATTTTTCTTTAGGCTTTCTGCTAATTAATAGAGCTATGTACTTTCGGCCTTTTTAAAGGCCATGTCATAATCATTAATCTTTTATTTTGTATTTACCGTTACTGTGCCAATGTTATTATTAGGCTGTTTGAAATTGTAATTTCGTTTGATGTTCCTTTTTGAAGCCTAAGCGCAGTAGGGGAGGGGTATGTTATATCGCAAAAATAATCACATTATTATTGGTTGGCTTATAAGCACGTGACTTATTGGAATTTCAAGGCGTAATGAACGTTCTGATTGGCCTGTTTAATTTTAGGGGGGCTCTTGGAGGTGGAGGGGGAGAACGTTAAACGAAATTGTAATTTCAAACAGCCTTATTTTCTCCATATTTGGATTTAATTTAAGTCTTGTTAGGGGCTGGTTAGGAGATTAAATGAGTGGAATTGTACTGAAGCCACAAAAGCCAAACCGAAAATTCAAATATTGTGGTAGAATCTATCCGTCCGTTCCGTAGCAGTCACACGATTTGTCACGCAGATCACGGGGGTAAATTTTTTACTATGAAATTTGAGTGATCGACATGCATATGAT